TTTAAAGGTAGTGGAAAGCAACTCAGACAACGAGGACTAGAGATCTTGGACAAAAGAGAAAATGCATAGCTAAATGGTAAACCTGACATCCTGGACTGCTTCTTCCCAGTCTCATAGATCACAAGGAGAAACGGGGTTGAAATTCAGAGGTGCCCAAACTGCCAGGTTTTGAGGAACCAAGAACCTGGTGATAAGTTTGACATTTGTTACAACTTTTCTCCTGAAACATTGGTGAACTTTTAAGAGAAATATAATTGGTGAACTTTTAAGAGGATTAGAATTAGAAGAAAAAAAATTTTTGATGTCTGGCATTCGACTTTAAAAATCAAACAGTTCAGGTAATGGTGAAAAGGAGGAAGATCAGGAGAATAGAATCAGAAAATAAGAAGATATATTCTGCAGTTGACCTTGACACTGTGCTTCCCCTGACCCCAGACATGAACTTTAAAACAACTATAATTACTTTACTTCTTTAATGTTAAACAGAAGAAAACTCAAGCTGGTTCTAAATGAATGCATTAGGACAAATTAATAATGCTTTTGAAAAAAAAATTAATATAAAATACTTTTCCCTCTTCCTGCAAATTCTACCTTGATATTATAGAAAATGGAAATAGGGGAAAGTAAACAGCCAAGGCTGAAAAATGTTTCTCAAAATATTTTTAAGCATTTTCTGAAAAAGGTAAAAATCTCAATCAGAAAACAAAAATTAACAGGAACACTTACTTTAATACAGGGATTTTTTTTCCTTTCTACAAGAAGGAAAAATATTTCAATGTTTTTCATTGACCCATATCCCTTAAATTTTTTTTATTTTCTATGGAGCTTTATGGTTCTTCTGACTATTTTATTAGTTTTCATGTTACATTCTGCCAACTCATAACGAGAATAAATAGAAAAGAAATGATAAAATATACTTTTCTAAGTGTTCATCTAAAAAAATGAACATATGACATTTCTCTGAAGGTTTTATTTTTAGGAAATAGAAATATAAGTGTTTTGTACCTCAATAAGCCACTAATTTTTCACAAAAGCAAAACAACTTGCAACTTGACCAGTACTTGATATTTGAATTAGTATGTTATTGGAAATAATGAATTAAAAATAGTAGGGTTCAAGTATCAGTGTACTTAGTCCCTGTTATTATTTTACTGTTCTTTTTTTTTAATAAATTATTCTATATGAGAATAAAAATCATTTAGTGTATATGCAATATTTAAGTAGCAGTTAATAAATATTTCTGATGAAGAACAGATCCTTTGCTGTTTACTCTCTCTGTGTTATCAAGACACAAATAAGAAATGTCTCCCTCTGGTGGTCAAAATGTTGAACTTCAGATGGACTCCTAGGGCTGTAGTATGAAAATAAGAAACTTTGTGACATGTTTCAATAAGTATTGTTTCAGTGATAGAAAACATTTTGAAAATGACAACTTTGTTTCTGGACTAGGTGCCTTAGGGAGTGGGCCAATCAGCATAAATGGGACTTGGTCGGATACCTGTGGTTTGTTTCAACCAGAGATTGTTTTCACTGAACAAAGTACTACAGGCTAACAAGATGCATCTCTTTCCCCAGATGTGCTAGTATGGAGCAATGATCGAGTTATTCGCTGGATACAAGCAATTGGACTTCGAGAATATGCCAATAATATTCTTGAAAGTGGCGTGCATGGCTCACTTATTGCCCTGGATGAGAATTTTGACTACAGCAGCTTAGCTTTATTATTACAGATTCCAACACAGAACACTCAGGCAAGCCCTTTTGTGCTGGTCTTGGTTAATGTAATGACAAATTTAACTTTTAGAGGAAAAATGTGGCTCTCTGTTCACAATTCTTGTTTTTTAAATTAAACTTATTTTTAACCGATACATAAAAACATAAAAATTATACATACTAATGGGCTAATGTGATGTTTCCATATATATTATACTGTATAATATTTAAATCAGGCTAAACATATGTATTTACTCAAACATTTATCATTTCTTAGGGTAAAAGTTTCTAAATCATTTCTTCTTGCTTTTTGAACTTAACAATAGCACACCAGAACATTTTGCATCTTTGTAGTTGCAACTTAGTATCCATTAATTAACCTTCCCATTCCCTCCCCATACTTTCTCCAGCCTCTAGTGGCCACAGACTACACTCAACTGCTATGAGATGGACTTTCTTAGATTCTACATATGTCTGAAATCATGCAATACTTGTCTTTCTGTGCGTGGCTTATTTCATTTAACATATTCATAATTCTTAATAAAAGTTAGCTCAATCTTTGAAATGTGTCACTAAAATTTTAATTTCAAGCTACTAGATTTCTAGCCAAAACTAAATCATAAAATTAAACAAGAAGGGTGTTAAAGGTTTTGTAGACTAATTTCTTCCTTGAATGCCAAATTCCCAAAACAATATCCCTGACAGATGACCATCAGTCTCTTCCTCTCTGACAGGCAGTTCTTTCTATTAAATTGTCTGAATTATGCAGACACTTCACATTGGGTATGCCAGTGATTACCAAATCCAGATAATTATTTGAATCAGTGGAGTTTCATTCAAATTAAAAGTAATCTCTCCAATCTACATCATAGCTCTCTAAGAAATCAGTTATGAAGGAACAGGGCCTAGGGATTTTTTCATATCTAAACTGTCTCAAAATGACTGTTGGCCAAATTTGAGAAGTACCTGCATAACTCTGATAAAAATTTATAGTCCAACTTCACTTTTTCTTTTGTTTTGAATATTTGAAAGTTTATCTGAAATACTCAATTGAAATAAAGTAAGAAAATGGGATCAAAGATTGTTGATCTCAGAATTAGATGTGAGGCAATCTATCTACTCTTCCATGGACAAAAGAAAAAATGGCCCTCACTAGTATTTATAGCTAAAATTCGCAGTGACTTAAAGACATGGAGAAATAAAATCCTCAAGCCCCCATAACAAAACTGCAGTTTGTAATTCATTCTCAGATAAATATAACGTGTGTAATTTTTTTTAAGTAAAATGTGATTTCATTGATGGTAACTCTAACTTGTTGTCCACAGGCAAGGCAGATTCTTGAAAGGGAATACAACAACCTCTTGGCCCTGGGGACTGAACGACGACTGGATGAAGTAAGTTCTTACCCAATATTCAAAAGGGACCTTACCTGGCGGCACAAAGCCCTGAGTTCAATGCCCAGGACCCCAGAACAAAAACGAAAACTGATCTGGATCTTCAAGAGCATAGGAAAAAATGACAGAACCTCCTTACTTTTAAGGAATGGTCCTTGGAAATTAACAAAATACTTGTTTTGTGGATAGAATCTAAATTTTTCCTCATGATTATTCTTAAAGATCAAATGATATGATTTAGTTTTGGAAAGAACATTATGCATTCATAAATATATCACTTTAGCACTTAGAAACACTGAAAAGTGATTCAAATGGCAATTTTTTTTCAACATGAATGACTAAAATATTGAGCAATTTTTTTTAATTATAAGCAATTGAAACATTAACATTGATAAGTTCAGCTTTTTAATAAGAAGATTCTTGTTTCTTAAATATTATATCTTCTCAGAAAATATTAGGATATTAAAGTGAAAAAATTCAATAAATATTTTCAATAAACATTCTATGTTCAATAAATTAATCTTTTCTTTATTTTAGAGATCAATGTTGCATTTTCCTTAAAAATAAATGAAATAACATTTAACAATCAAAAGATGTAAAAGCTATGTTCAATGCTAGAATTCATATACAAATGAGATATATATATATATGTTTAAGCTATATGGAAGACAGTAAACACATAAGAAACCTCTTGAGTGAATGAATGTAGGAGGTATAGTAAACCCTGTGATTGACAGAAAATTTTAGTAGTCCTGAGTTTTTTGCAAAAGTTTTCTAGAAGTGAAAAGGAAACCTTATTATGAAGTAGAAAATACAGAGATACATAATTCTATGTTGCAAACTGCAGGTGTTTCTTGGCTATAAAAGTAGGCTGTTTAAAATGATTTTTGTGAATGAACTAAGCAAATCCTAAAATAGGGCAAAAGTTCTATATTCAAATGGGCAAGGCAAATGATCTTGATAGTATAAAACCCATGCTCTTCTTTATGGAGGAGATTATGGTAGATAATCTATATTCCATAATCTAACTTTTAATAAATTCATTCTTTTGTCCAATCAGGATATTTATTAATAATTTTTATATTTGGGGATTTTTTAGTTGTAGTTGGCAATATCTTTATTTTATTTTTATGTGGTGCCTAGGATTGAACCTAGTGCCCCTCACATGCTAGGTGAGTGCTCTACTGAGCCATAATCCCAGCCCCTTATCAATATTTTTAAAAATTCATTTAATACTTAATTGATTTTAGTGTTAAAAGATTTTTAGCAGTGTTTTTAGTACCTATTCTAAATTGCTGATTCAAAAAGGTAGTCTGATGAACTCCTACACTTTAGAATACAATTTTCTTATTTAAAATTAGAAAGGAATAACCAAATTATTAAAGATCTAGCCTATTTGCTACATTCTAAAATGTGGGTTGGCCTTAGGACACTGTCTTAGTAGAGACAGCAGCCTACATGGGATATGATATTGCATCCTGAGGGTCATGAATAAGCAGAAAGTTCTGTTAAATAGGATGTGACTATCTGCTTTAAAAGTAGTCAACCTCTTTTATTTATTTTTAAAAGCATAATACATTATTTCATTATTTAAGCCCTATAGTCTCTTTTGTTCAACTTATTTTTGAAAGAACAAAGATAGCCAAACAACTTGCCTAAAATCATAGTGGATTTATTTCTTGGACTTTGCTGATCACATTCATATTCAACTGAAACAGTCTGAGAAGTGCTGATATACCTTTGTGGGCTTTAATTATAAAGACATCTTTTAATCCCATCTCACGAAAAGTGTTTTTTTCTCCCATGACATTGTTGCTTATAGTCCCCATTAACATTCTGTAGTAAACATATATATACTGTATGCTAAATGACCAGATATAAGGAGTCAAATAAAACTCAACTTATTGGCTAATTTTAAAGCCCTGAATACAAACATTATACAAGTTGCATAATCCTACAATGCAACAAAGGGTTTGGTAGAACTGAGGGATATTTATACTTAAGGCACTAGCTTCTCTAGGAATTCCAAAGTCTGAGAGGCCACAACCATGAAATTGTTTTTTTCTTCATTTACAAACATTTGGAGACCTAAGACAATATAAAACACAACAGTTGAAAATAAGAATGGCAGACATCTTTTAACTAAAATTTGGGTATCAACATGAGGTATTTTTAACAATGAATATATGTATTAATTTATTTTCAGTCTCCCACATTGACTTTAAATGTCTGTTAGTTAAATTGGTAGTCTATTAAGAATTCCATATAAACCAGGAGTGATGGTGTACCTGGTACACCATCACTCAGCTCAGGAGGCTGAGGCAGGAGGATCACAGTTCAAAGCCAGCTTCAACAATTTAGTAAGGCCCTAAACAACTTAGAACTTGTCTCAGGATAATTTTTTTTCCCAAGATGTTTACTTTAAAGATGCCAAATCTTAAATTCCCAATCACATGGAAAGTCCTATAAACACATTCCTGCTTTAAATCTCCTAACTCCTCATTTTGGAATCCTTTGAGCTCTGGAGATGAAGCATAAGTGTTCCATTTGTATACTCCATGGACTGAGTACAAATAATTTGTTACATGTTTCTAGGCACACAGCTTCATGTACCTGGACTAGTTGCTTGCTTTCATAACAGCACTTTCTGACTCTGTACCCGCAGACTGATGACAAGAATTTTAGACGTGGCTCAACCTGGAGAAGGCAGTTTCCTCCTCGTGAAGTACATGGAATCAGCATGATGCCTGGATCCTCAGAAACCTTGCCAGCTGGATTTAGGCTGACCACAACATCGGGGCAGTCGAGGAAAATGGCCACGGATGGTACGGATGGTACAGTAGCTTTGTATTTTGGCTTGTAAAGTTAAGTGCTTGTTTAGCAAAAGCAAGTGTAATTCTCTAACCTCGCATAGCTTTGTGGAATTAATTCTTTTCTTGAGTTGGTTTGCTCTGCTTGAAATTTACTTTGCTTTCATCAAAAGCCAGACACTTTTGTAAACTGCTAATGCATGAACTCATGGCACTTTATTCATATTTTAAAAATAATTTATAGCATCCTAAAAAGATTGACATTGGCTAATGTTCACTCTAGGAAGCATAAAAGACATCTGCATGACTTGTGTTTCTTTACTCTTCCATTCCCAAAGCAAATAATTTGTTTAAGGTAGAGATTGGATTTGGACATGGTAAATGGCAATTAACCCCACTGAAACCTTGCATGTTTAAATACTGCAAGTTTTGTCATTTTAGAATCCAGATCATCAGAATTTTTACCTCTGACCAAAGCCAGAGGCCTTAAATAAACCAGCACAGTCATGAGAAGAGAATTAAACACAAAGCCAACAGTAATGTCCCAATAGAATTTCCTTCGGTGGACATTAGACTTTTTTCTATATAATCAACAAAGGAAAACAGTCATTCTGGAGAGACAACAGTGAAATTGTAGTCGCAAAATGATTTCTGTTTGTTAAACATCAAAGAAAAATATTATAAAAATATTATCTCCTTATTAATCACTGAGAATCATTATTTCTCTTCAAGGTCACAGCTGTTATGGTTCTTAAAAATTAGTTTCAGCATAAATTATCATCTACACTTTTCTTATATGTTATTAATATTGTGGAACATGTTAGCAAAATTCATGAGGAATTTAGCATGATTAAAATTAGCGTAGAAGTTCCTCAATACTTGGAGAAAAACACAATTCACCAAGCTGAATTCTCTGAGCCACTTCCGCAACCAAAACAGAAGCTCCCTGGGGAACTGTCTTGTTAAGATTTCTTCTAAAGAGGAATACATGACCACTGGAAAGTTCCATAAGTTACACTGGGATACATTTCCATTAGCAACTGGGTCTAGAGAAGAGGAACGTGAGTGGCTTACATCTGAAACAAAGAAGGTCTGCTACTATGTTCAGTATCCCTTTAGGCAGAGAAAAGAAATCTTTCTCATCTGAAATCTCGTACTCAATCATCCAAGAACCTCTAAAGCCCTTTTCTCCATTTGCAGTTGCTTCATCAAGACTGCAGAGGTTAGACAACTCCACTGTTCGCACATACTCATGTTGACAAGCCACTCAAAGGAGGCAGCACTGACCTGCTGTGAGTAGTTTCCCTTTGGCTGACAAACCAGCAAAAGAAAAAAAAAAAAAGAAAAGAAAAAATGGAACCTACATAGACTAGTAAATAGGCGCTGTGCCTTTTGGTATGGCCTAGCAGTACAGAGGGGAAATAACCCCTTTGAACTGATAGAGGGGGGAAAGGCATCTTCTTTTTAACTTTGTTTGGTATTTCCTATCACCACCTGTCTGCTATAGTTGAAAGGTCTGTCTGTTGGAGGCCTATCATTCAGTTATTACACTCGACTGGTGGTTAACCGTAACGTTTTCTACTTTTCAGAAGGATTTTGTACTGATTCCCATAGCATTTTATTAATAAGATTTTGGCACTTAAAATTTAAACATTTTAAGTGACTATTTTATAATAAGGCAGCCAAAGTAGGCAGATGGGAATTTAAGCAAGTTCTTAAGAGTCACTATAGTGGCAGAGAGAGGAAAATGACTTAGAAGTGTTAAAACAAAAGTAGAAACTGAAAACGTTGAACTCTCAATATGTTGCTTTTCAGTGGTGTGATTTATATTTGTTGAAGACAAGTATGAATTTTATTAAATACTTGGAGCCTAGAAGATAGGACCAAAATGAAATTGATTTATAAGAATGGAAGATAGAAACAGCCACAAACCTTGTTGTATAACCATAATATGTAGTGTATTTGTGTTTAGATAAATACCAGTTAAAACTACTTCCAAATCCATATAAAATGGCACTTTATTGAAAAATAGTTTTATAAGAAAAACCATATTTTTCCTAGTGTCAAATGTTCACAAATTATTTTGACCTAAAACACAGCTTTATCGGAATACTCTAGAATTTTCAATGAATTAATATTTTGGAAAAAAAAACTTTTTGAAAGCAATATTTAGAATGAAATGTGTGCCCAGGGGTGGGACAGGAAGCAGTACTAGGTACTAGCAGCTCACCTTGTGGTGTTAATTCACTGCTCTGACCCAAAAGCTCCACAATCAGCTGGGCTCTTGGGCCCAACATGGAGCTGATATGCTGCCTGATTTGAATCAATTTTGAAACCAATAAAACAAAAAGCATCCAGATTAGAAGTTTAATTTCAGAAAGTACAACCATACCATTGAAATCTTAATTATGGCATATAATTTGGCATATAATTAGGCATGATCTAAAGTATATAATAATTTGGCTGAACAAAAGGCTTTCCAAAATACTGTTTATAATTGATTCTACATGTAATAATTTCCTCGGGAATTGAATATTTCATTAATTCACAAATGACTATTTAGTATGTTCAGTAGTGCTTGCTTCTCAGCTCTTGACTGATGGGTAGAATTACTTTTTAACTACTTGCAATGTGTTCTTTCTTTTTTTTGTGCATGGCATTCTGGTTCATATTTCCTACTTTCTTCCATTAGGTGGGATATAATGGTATTTATTTACAATGAGTAAATCCAGAACAATCGATTTTATTTTGGTGAAACAGCATCTTTGTTATAATTCAGAGCATACTATTTATTGTTTCTTTTCTTTCAGTAAGAATAATTGTGAGCATTTCTTAAGCATATTATGGCTAGAAAGAAACTTTGATGCCATACCACTGTCACAGAGCCTTGAAATCATGTTGTACCTATCATCATTATGTTTTCATCACAATTAAACAAAATAATCTTTTTAAGAGCTCTAAAATATATGAACTAGGGCTGGAGATGTGGCTCAAGTGGTAGCGTGCTCACCTAGCGTGCGTGAGGCACTGGGTTCGATTCTCAGCACCACATAAATGTGAAATAAAGATACTGTGTCTACCTAAAACTAAAGAAATAAATATTTTTTAAAAAATAAAATATATGAACTAGAAAATATAAATCTCTTCCATTGAATAGGTCAACAGAACCCAGTGCATAATTAGCATGCTGTCAAATTTCAGAAGGCATGCTGACATTTTCTGTGACTTTTTTTGTTTATGTTACTTCCATAGTTTCCCCAAAGTTGAGCAAATCCTACTATTTTAATTCCTTGCACAAAAGTGGACAAGATCACTTGATACTGATGTCCACTATGGTTTAGGTCTTAGATGATGTTCTTTTCATTACATGGTAGGACCGGTGTGGGCAGGATACATGGATGTGCATCAGAGTAGGGAACTGGATTCACCAGGCTAGAACCTTTCAGTGAACTAACCCTGTTCATTACGTATTTTAGATGTCGTGTTTTCAGTCTACTCTACCTAAAGTGCACTACCGTCTAAGAAGATGAGCAGTGAAACCTCTGTGAAGACCGAATTCGGAGGAAATAATGACAAGTAGTGATTTATTAAAAATAAAATGTGATTCCGGGGGTTATCAGATATCAAATTTGATTAGTTTACTACAATTGTAATAAAATGCTTAAGTCATTTGAATAAGAAGCATCATCCACGTCATAAATTCTGTACAAGAGATGCTTTTATGAAATGGAGCCACTTGTTTTTCATGTTGTAATATACTAGGCATTTATGTATTACTGTGTATTTCTTTTTAAATGTGTAAGTCTTATGTAAATGGATATAAATATGATTTTTTAAAAAATAAAATATATGGTTCATGGAGTCTTGAGTGCAAACATTTGACAATTCCAAGTACTGTTTGTATTTTACCATTTCACCATTTTTACAGTTTTTGAATTGTAACAGTCAAATCAATATGTTTCCTAGAAGCATGTTTCATGCTTCAACATGTTTCTCCTTCAAGTCTGTTAATCCTTAAAGCTGAATACCTGCCTCTGATCATGTAAAAAAGAATGATTTAACCTGGAACTGGAGCCAAAAAAATGACCTTTAAAGGCAATCAGGGATGTCCTTATCTCTAGAAATAGCACTGTGATGGCTTGATCTCCTTTTCAATACAAAACAAAGCCAAACTGTTTACAAGAGTCAAAAGCAATTATTTAAACAAATTTATATTAAAAAAATCTTCTCTTGTTACCTGTGGACCAAGAAAAAACAAAACAAAAAAAAATAAAATAAAACACTCTTTCCTAATCAACACATGTTCATTCAAATACCTTGAACCGTCAGCCCACACTGGACAGTGAATGTCAACCACAGCAGAGACTGAGGCTCATTTCCACTGGAAAAACAGAACCCAGATACCCTTCCTTTTTGTCAATGGAACAGAGCATTTGCCAGACTCATGACTAATGTTATAAGCTTTTAGCCAACATGGCCTTGTTGCGACTTCCCTGAAGTCAGTTTTATCAGAGGAAATAAACAAAAGGCAGAATGGTTACATATATAGTGTATAAAAAGTATAGAGGAGTAATCTCTTCCCTGTGGCTTTATTTGGTGGTGTTATTGTTGTTTATTCTTTGTTTATATGGAAGATTTCAAAGTAAAATCTATTTAATAATACCATTTATCTAATTGCTGATTTTCTGCTGCTTGATCTTATTAAGCGCAAGACCTGTCATTAGTAATTTCTTTTTTGTACTTTCATTTGCTGTTTGCACGTACATTACATTTGTTTTGATGTCTATTTTTGTTTAACAGATACAGTCAAAAGGTAATGGTAACAGAAACCCTCTCCATTGTCAATAAAAAAAATACTTCCAGTTCTCTGTTTAAGCTTTATTTTCTAGTAACATAAAACTTGACAATTTATTTGAATTATAATGGATATTACTCTTTCAGTTACTCTCAAATTATTTAACTTCAAAAGTAAGTTCCGCCACTAGAGGGAGTACTAAACTAGCTTATGGACATGATTTTAAATTTTCTTAAAATGCTGGTTGAGCAAAAACAAAGTAAAATATCTAAACTCATCTAAAAATGGGGGACTTGATTCATAAAAATTAAATGTGATATAGATGCTATGATATTAAAATATTAGATATAGATTTGCATTTACTCTGATACACCATTGTGATAGCTTTAACTTTAGAGTTAAAGAAATACCTGCAAAATGAATGTATAAAGGGAAAATTTTTATTTCAGTTCACAGTTTTGGAGGCTCTAGTCCAAGATTTGGCAGAGCCATTGCTTTGGGCCTCTGGTGCATGTGGAAGAACAAACAGCTCACTTCAAGGTCAGGAAGCAAATGAGAGAGGGGGAAAGGGTTGGGTCCCTGCAGCCCTCTTTGTGGTCATGCTCCCCACCCATGACCTAAGGACCTCACACAAAGCTCCTCCTCCCAAAGGTGCACACCAGTTTCCAAGATACCACCCTGGGACCACGCCTTTAACACACAAGTCTTTGGGGGACACTCAGTATCCAAATTGGAAAAACTAGTCAGTTTCTTCTTTTTAGAGATCAGGTAAGATATATTAGTCATTTATAAGGAACCCTAACATATATTGATGCCAAATCCAGCTACTTCTCTCAAAAAAAAAAAAGTATAAAATAAGCTGCAATTTATAAGACATTTTCTGCCAGATTCTAAAACCATTTAAAGGATTGACCTTGGAAATTCGGTGTTTTTTGTGACAACAAACATTGTGAATTCCAACATTTCAAATGATCAAATCAGAACCTTTCAAATACAATTTGATATTAACAAACTTCTTTTTAAAAGATAAGGCAGGTCTCATTTGGTTACATGTAATGTATTTTCATGAGAAAAATAATTAATTATAAAACATTTTTCTATAGATTTTGAAAAATTTATTTTGACTTTTTCAATTTCTTATAGTATAAAGTGTCAGGAAAAGACCAAAAGTAGATCATGCAGAATTTATTTTACCAAATATAAGTATGATTGCATTTTTTAGTAACATTAAGTTAGTGTTTTTCAAAGTACATTTAATTCAAAATATTTTAGGTTCTATGTAGTAAAAGAGTTTTGTGGTCAAGTATTAAACTAGAAAATTCCTTTATTTTCCTACCAAATTATAAGAAGTCTGATGACTTGAAAATACCTTTATTGACCAATTTTTAATCACAAGAATTTAATGGCACTTTCTCTGACCCTACAAATGGGATAAATTTTCTCAATGAGAAATAACTACTTCCTTTGGTCTTATGCACTGTTTTTCATACCCATTTAACTGGAAAATAAACCAAGTGTTCTTGCTGAAATGTCCTTTCACATTTAGTTGCCAGGAAAACAAACAAACAAAAAAAAAAAAGTAAACTTTACACAATTCTTGGACCTGGACCTGCCAGACTTTAACTTTCTAATGAACAATGATACACCGTCAGTTAAAGAATTTGCTATTTCAAATTAACTGACTCATGTGAAAAAAATAAAGAAATACATTTTAATGCTGATATTAAAAATAGTTTATTTATAAGTACTACAGTTGTGATAATTGATAAAATGCATCCAGTAGAAAAGATATTTCAAAGAACTCAGCAACTTCAAGTTATTAAATGTCTATATAGTTAGTTTAATCCTGGATACTAAAGTAATTAAAGTCAAATATATTTTTCAAGACTAACAATCAAGAAGGGAGTTGAAGCAAATAGAAATTTCCTTGGAGAAGCCATTTATTTTGTAACATACAGTCCAAAAGGAGCTAAAATTTTCAGAATGTTTTTATATAAGTTGTAAATAATCTTTACAACACAAACAATAAACCTTCATCTATTATATCTCACATATATTTCATTCACCTGGACTATTATGTTAGAAAGATCTGCTTTTAATAATAATGTTTACAAAGGACTGAAAAATTGAGAAATACTTTGAGAAACTTCCATGATTCACTGGGCATGGTACATGTTTTGTGATTAAATGTATTCTTTGATAACTGATGCATGTAGAACCCTAAGTAAACAAAATAGCTAATCATCTATTTTTATCTATTCAAGTTGATTGGTATATTACTGTAAACTTACTAAAGACTCCTTTTCAAATTCTTTTTAAAAGGATTAATAATTTTATAGAAGTCTAAAAGGAGAGATGTGTTTGGGCATAATAATTTTCAAATGCATTATTTATTTAAGAATTAGAATTTTCACATGAAATAATGGGTTTTTGGTTTCTTTTAAAAATCGGAGGCTCTTACAGTAGGGGATCTTTTTCCCTCCTGGGCCATATTCTGCTGGGACTGGGTAGAGGCTGTTCCCTTGATGGAACAGGTACTCTCTAGTCTCCACCAAGCCTTATTTTCCTGAAACTTGAGATAAATGGCTCAAACTCACATGAAAAGATCACTGGTGTTATAGTAACTCCTTGAAAAGCCCCTTGATCTTTAACTTAATGAAAAAGCTTTTGGAATTCTTCTTTAAGAGTTTTCCTTGCCACTCTACTCCACTTGTATATCATTTCCTTGATTCCATAGGAAATTGGAGTCATTAAAAAATACACAGTCAAGTAAGCACCTGAGACATGAGTGGGTCTTCTCAGGAGGCCTCATCTCCATGATGAGAAGATGGGATGGAATGACTCTAGGTTCTCTGCCAGACCCGTGACTTCTCTTGCTGAAGTGACAGATGAGCTGAAAGCAGGACTATATCCCTGGCCACCCGCCTTCCCTCCAGACTCATGTGGCTAGACAGGTCCTCCTACCTAGATAAAATTTGTCCATCTGGATGACTACCTAAAATTCCCCGTTCATCTTATTTCATTTAACACAATGTGAGTATCTGAAGAATATTAGGGCATACTCAAAATTTCTATAAGAAAAAAAATATTTTCTGACCTTGACTTGAATATTTGAATGTAGATCAAAGCTGTGGATCTTAAACTTCAGGAATCATCTATATGAGAGGAATTTTCAGTTCGTGTGTTTTGGGGGAGTACAATTTTTAAAAAAATTATACAATACATAGATTTTTCTAAAAGTGCTAGACAGCACATGATGAGCCATTTTACAGGCAACTGACAATGATATCAATTGTGTCAAATCGAACAGAAGGTACAGATCCTTTCACTCGTCTTGCTTAGACCACTTTAGACCAAGCTTTACAATTCACATTTCAACTGGCAAGTAATTTCTATCTAAATATTCATTTCTGGAAAACAGCTCAAATAATGCCAACTAACCTATTAACTCAAAGTTGGAAAACAAAGAATGTCATGATGCCTGCTTTAGCACTTCTTCTAAGTGCCCAAAAATGCTGGGGTCTTCGATTGTAGGAGTTACCTATAAAGAAATTCAGTGTCAGAGAAACGCTCTTCCTTGAACCCTTTTAATGATCTTTATAATGAAAGCAATTATATGCAGTGTTGTATTTCTATATCATCTTAAATTATAATACTTCTGTTAAAAATATACAAATGAGAAACTTTGAACTTAATATTTAAAAATGTATGTATAGTCTTTCAGAGTAACAAAATAAATGGTTTAATTAGCAAAACTATTGGTCCTAGGATGGTACTTTCTCTGGAGTTCCTTTTCAGAACCTTTCTGTATATTTCCATAGGGAGTTTTATTTTTTTTTTTATTTTTGACATTTATTCATGCAAGTACACCTTACTGCTGCATTGGCTTTAATTAGATATTATTGATAAAAATATGTGTACTTGTGCACAAATAATGTGCATACAAATTTAAAGACTATATCAGTCTAAAGTTTCCTAAAATAATTTTCCCTTCAAATAGAAGACATAATTAGGACATACATCAATTAGAAAGTTTTTTTTCATTTTAATTGACTTTAATGATTATTGCTCATCTGCAAGGATTAATATTGCATTCATTAAAAATCATTCAATACAAAATGAACTTTTTCCTCCCAAGTTGCTCTCCACATGCTCCCTCTGATGCCAGACATTTTCCACAGTGTCCTTTGTGACATGGCTTGACAGAGACGGAGCTCTTACCTATTATTCCTATGGACACAGTAATAGCTACGGGATCTGAGGGCCAACCAATTAAAAAGTTTTAAGCATCTCTTACCAACCTCAAATATTTTGCTTTCTCATTCACTAATAACCATTAATGGCTAGAATGAAGGAAAATGTACTTTAAATTCAACATGATCCAGTTTCTACAAGTATGTTTGAATTTAACTAACATAATAACTGATAGAAAAATATTTTCACAGGGATTCCTATAATCAAAGCATATGATTTTAATTAATCTGCCTTTCTTACTCAAACCCTCATTCCTACAGAGAGGAAATATGCGGTTTCCCTTTTAATATATTTTTAAAAGTCAGTCTAGTATGTTTTCTATGGATACAATTCATGCGGAGTAGAACATTTTTAAAGAGTTTTGCTGATGCCAAAGAAATGGTGAAAAACATTTCAGAGCTCAGACTTAAACATCCTTGGTCATTTACCTTATAAGGCTTGCCATTGACGAGGGCGGATAGAGTAGATCGCGGAATTTTTCCAGATCTGGTTTTGGGTAACTGTTTGACAAACACTGCATTTCGAAAAGCAGCCACAGGGCCAATGCTCTGTCTAACATGTTTCACAATTTCTTCCAGAACTTGTTCCTCTGTTGCATTTATGTCTAGGGAGGAGTTTGAGATAGTAAACGCAGAATTAACCTGAGTTCATCATTCAGGCCCAAACAACCAGGAAGGACAAAGGTGCCTCACCTTTCTTCAACACACAGAGTGCAAAGGGGACATGACCTTTCAGAGGGTCTTCCTTGCCAACCACAGCACAGTCTGCCACAGTACCATGGGAAAGAACAGACTGCAATGAGAAAAGATAATCTCA